GGCTTCTTTAGGAGAATGAGTACAAATTGGTTGTGCCAAAAGGAATGATATAAATGCACATCTTTCCAGGAGGGTAGGATTGCATAAGTGTTCTCGGGAGCAATTCTGGGTCTAAAGAGAGAAATATCCAGTGGTGGGATTCAGCCGGTTCGTGCCTGTTCATCAGAACCGTTTGTTAACTTTCTGAGCAGTTCGGAGAACTGGTTGTTGGAAGAAATCTCCTTTTGTTTTTTTCCACTTTACAGGGTTAATCCTGTAAGGAAGGCAGGAAGGAAACATTCTGGTGTTTTTTCTAGCCTAATCTTTATTCCCCTACTTATAGAAACTGCCTCAAGGTTAAGCCTTATTACATTGTAACGGCTAAAGGTTTTTGGCAGTACGTCCAGACTTACTGAGTTTCTCTGGAGTCTCGTCCCCCGCTTTGCTGGTACTTTCCTTTGCTTTATTAGAGGCTTGACTTTCTTAAAGGGGAAGGGTTGTTTTATGCTTATTACACTGCTGTTGGGAGGAAATACTCCCCTGTTGGAGTTCTTCCAGCTGGGATGCAACGATCAGCTGAAAAAAAGTGACTTATGACTGTTTTTCACACTTACGACTGTTGCAGCATCCCCACAGTCATGAGAGGCCGGGCGAGGCGAATCGCCCCTCGATGTGAGTGATGTTGAGTTGGCCACACCCACCAGTCACATGACCACCCAGCCACAACTAGCTGGTCATTAGGGCAGAGAACCGGTTGTTAAATTATTTGAATCCCACCACTGGAAATATCAGAGCAATCTAAGGCAACCGACAAGGACTTTGTTATGATTGAGGATGGAGAAGACAGAAGAGAGAAGGACCAAAGTAGGCTTGTCTCGTGAAGCTTTCAAACAGGGACATTGAACAGGACTAGCCAAGAAGACTTGAAATAAACAAGGTTGAACCCCCAAAACAAGAGGACAAGAAGTGGTAGCTTTGCAAGCATGGTTTGGATCTGTTGGAAGAAATGTCCATCTGGGTTCAGTTCCAAGTGGGGAGAAAGACATTGGAAACATGGTGGCTATTTGGAAGGATGGTTTAATGGTGGACAGGACCACATGGTTTTGAGGTCCTGGGCAAAAAAGCACATGAGAGAGAGAGAGAGAGAGAGGGAGGGAGGGAGAGAGGGAGGGAGAGAGGGCGATATTTATACCCTCTGTTGGGCTTTGAATTTGAGCTTGTATTCTGATTGGTTGTCAGACTCCCATGGGGCCATGCAACCTAACTTTGTAGGTCGTCTTTTGAGTCCCAAGTTTGGTTGACTCTTGCTGGGTGATGTAATCTTCCCAGGTGCCATGTGGTGAGTTCTGTTGCTAGAAGGGTAGAGGGCTAATCCTACCTTTGTTGGGTCTTGGGTGAAGGCATTTGCTTATGAATAGACCTAGCTATTTCTTTATCTCTTAAGTGCAGACATCTGCTTTGGGCTTTTGAGGAGGGTGGCGGCTATTAAGAGTGAGTCTGCTTCCTGCCTCAAAAAAAATATGTTTCTCCATTTCTCATCCAGGGAAATATAATATTCTGCTTTTTTAATATTTCCTAGCATATTTCATTCTTCTAGGAGAGGGGTGGGTGCTAACTTCCTACAGATCTTAGGACTTCCTTCTCAACTACCGGTAGTAGAGTATTTCCTATGATTTTTGGGAGGGAAGGGTGTCCTTGAAGACTTTTGGAAAAAGCACCTTCGGGTAAAGGAATGGAGAAACATTTTCAGACTTGCAAGATTGTGTTGCTGAAATTACCTACAATAAAAGGTAGCATCAGTACTCCTGGTTTGTGCTTCGGGTTTGGGCTGCCTTAAAGGGCTGGCAGATGTTGAGTGAAGGCCAGGAAGTCTTAGTTCAAATCTTTCCATATCGGGTTGGGAGATTTGGGGCCAATTCTTAGCTCTCCGGTCCATCAACCTCACACATTTTGGAAATTTCAAATTGGAAGGTCCTTATATACCATAGGGTCCTTTGGAAGAGAGGCAGCAAGGAGAGCAAAGGCATCAATAAATAAATACCCGCTTCTCTTGGTTTCTTTTAATGTTTCATCTTTTATTCATTCTGCCCCCGACCCCCCCCTTCAAGGCCCAGAAGGACGTCTGCCTTTCATTTGACCGCATCTTTATTATTTGCAGAGGGTGGACCAACCGTGGATAGAGGGCTCCCTTGGTATGCAGATGCTCTTGCTCCTGGGGTGACTTCTTGAGTGCTTGTCCAACTCAGCTCTGGCAAAGGCCACAAGATGGGAACTTTCAAAAGAACCAGCCCTGAATCGACCAAGTGCCCGCTGTTGTATAATGCAGAACTTCCTGGAAAGGGCACCAAAGAGATAAAAGCGCTCTCTCTCTCTCTCTCTCTCTCTCTCTCTCTCTCTCTCTCTCTCTCTCTCTCTCTCTGATGTGCATACATGTGCATTTTATAGAATAGAGTAGAGTAGAGTAGAGAAGAGTAGAGTAGAGTAGAGTAGAGTAGAGTAGAGTAGAGTAGAGTAGAGTAGAATAGAATAGAATAGAATAGAATAGAATAGAATAGAATAGAATAAATAGAATAGAGGTAGAGTAGAATAGAATAGAATAGAATAAATAGAATAGAGTAGAGTAGAGTAGAGTAGAGTAGAGTAGAGTAGAGTAGAGAAGAGAAGAGTAGAGTAGAGTAGAGTAGAGTAGAGTAGAGTAGAGTAGAGTAGAGTAGAATAGAATAGAATAGAATAAGGAATAGAATAGAGTAGAGTAGAGTAGAGTAGAGTAGAGAAGAGAAGAGTAGAGTAGAGTAGAGTAGAGTAGAGTAGAGTAGAGTAGAGTAGAGTAGAGTAGAATAGAATAGAATAGAATAGAATAAGGAATAGAATAGAGTAGAGTAGAGTAGAGTAGAGTAGAACAGAACAGAACAGAACAGAACAGAACAGAACAGAACAGAACAGAATAGAATAGAATTCTTTATTGGCCAAGTGTGATTGGACACACAAGGAATTTGTCTTGGTGCATATGCTCTCAGTGTACATAAAAGAAAAGATACGTTCCTCAAGAATCATAAGGTACAACACTTAATGATAGTCATAGGGTACAAATAAGCAATCAGGAAAAAATATCAATATAAATCAACAAAGTTACAGTCATGCAGTCCTAAGTGGGAGGAGATGGGTGGTGGGAACGATGAGAAGATTAATAGTAGTGCAGACTTACTGAATAGTTTGACAGTTTATATGAAGAATGTAGCCACCAACTCCTTTAGTACATCATGAACTGCAGAGGAAACCAGTTTTTGGTCTTAGAATTTTCCTTCCTTTCTTCTTTCCTTCCCCCCCTCAAAATTTCTTCCCTTCTTTCCTTCCAGCCTTCCTCTTTCTATTTCTTTTCTTCCCTCTCTCCTTCCTTCCTTTCTCCCTCCCTCCCTTCCTTCCCCTTTCTGTCTCCCTCCCTCCCTTCTTCCTTTTTATTTCTGTCTCCTTCCTTCCTTCTCTTCTTCCTTCCTTCCTTTCTCCCTCCTTCCCTCCCTCTGTCTCCCTCCCTTCCTTCCCTTCTGTCTCCCTCCCTCCCTTCCCCTTTCTGCCTCCCTCCCTTCCCCTTTCTGCCTCCCTCCCTTCCCCTTTCTGTCCCTTCCTTCCTTCTTCCCTCCTTCCATCTTTTTATTGTACGCTCAGCAAAAGTGGCTGCCCTGCTTTCTCCCGCCAGGAACCAGGCCTTATCTCTTCTCCTGGTCTCCTCTAACCTTTGGCGGTAATCGAGACGTAATTGCTTAACGCAGCCTGGAAGCTTTTAGTCTCAGTCTCGGCTTTGGCTGGATTAGAAGCAACATGTCAGCTGCACATAAAATGAGGTGGAGGTATTTCTCGGAAAAACTAGCAGTGCCCTCCCCCTCCCCGCCGCCCTCCGTTTTCCAGACCTGCCATCCAGAGAGGCGTTTTTTCCAGTCATCCCTCACGATTTCCACCAGTGGAATAAAAGGAGGGCATGTAAGGAACTGTTGGAGTGTGGAATAATTTGGGGTAGCCAAGCATCTTCCTTTAGATTGGGGGGGGCGGCGGGTTTCAAACTCTTGGGAATGGCTGTCGATGAAGCGCTAATGAAAAGGTGATGAAGAGCATCTTCCCCCATCCTTCATTTGCAAGTCAAGGAGGCTGAAACATTTAACTCTTGCCTCGCTTTTCTGTGTGTGTGTGTGTGTGTGTGTGTGTGTGTGTTTGTGTGTGTGTATTTACAACACTATAGTTGTTAGGATTAACAGTCACATGAAACAAAGTATGGAGCCTCTTTCTTCCCTCCCTCCCTCCCTCCCTCCCCTCCTTCCTTTTTCCTTCCTTCCTTCCTTCCCTTCTTTCCTTCATCCTCTCCTTTTCCTTCCCTCCTTCCTTCCCTCCTTCCTTCTTCCCTCCCTCCCCCCTTTTCCTCCCTTCTTTCCTTTCCTTCTTTCCTTCTTTCCTCCCTCCTCTCCTTTTCCTTCCTTCCTTCCTTCCTTCTTGCCTCCCTCCCTCTTCCTTCCTTCTTTCCTTTCCTTCTTTCCTCCTCTCCTTTTCCTTCCTTCCTTCCTTCCTTCCTTCCTTCCTTCCTTCCATCCATCCATCCATCTATCCATCCAGTGATCATCATTTGTAACTTTCCCAGATGGCTTCTTGACAAGCAAAGTAAATGGGCGGAGGGAGGGGGAAGCTGGATTCATTTAACAACCAGTGTTTCACTTAACAACAGTCCCTCTTTCAGGAAGATGGTCGGTTCAGAAATGTGGAAAACAAACAAAGAACTGTCTTGCTTAACAATGCAAATTCTGGTCCTCATTGTAACCCAACTCAGATAGATGCTTCCGCCTCCCGTAGTCCCCTGTTTGAGCAGCTCCTGAAAGTGTCCGTGGCATCTTCTACTTCCAGAAATGGAGCTACGGAGGTGATTGAGCCCATGGAAGGAAACCGACTTCAATGAACTTGCCATTCCTTCCTCCTTCTGATAGAAGATCAGACCTCCATCCACAGGTTTCAATTTTTTTCCTCTGGCTTCCACCTGGCAGGTGAAAGAAGATCCAGCTGGACCAGGACAAGCCGCGTTGACGTCCCACACAAATGAGTGGCACCTGGCCAATCCCGAAAAGGAATCCATCACCTTCGTGCTCCACAGTGCCTCCAACCTGCCCTCAACTCGCAAGGGAAATGTCCCCCACCCGTATGTCATTGTGTGAGTATATTTCCCACCCCCCAAACTTCTGCAAAGATTCTGAATTTTATTTATTTTTCTTTATTGTTACATTTTTCTCCCGCTTGTATTATTTTTACAAATAAGGCAGCCAATAATACTCATCCCTCTTCCTATTTTCCCTACGACAACAACACTGTGAAGTGGTTTGGGCTGAGAAGAGAAGGACTGACCTAGTCCTCCAGTAAGTTTTCATGGCTTAGGCAGGACTAGAACTCACATCTCCTGGTGATTAGCTGGTTTTCCTGCCTAAAATGGAACTAGAACTCACTGTTTCCTGGTGATTGGCCCAAAGCCACGCAACCAGTTTGGTGTGCAGTGCTCTATAGCATCGTTTTGAAGGTAGGAGTTGAAACAGTTTATGTCCAGGATGTGAGAGGTCTGTAAATATTTTCACAGCTCTCTCTCTCTTTTTTTTATTAAAAAGTTTTACAAAGAAAATTCCCCCCCCAATATTCCCCCACCCTTTTTCCCTCCCAACCACCCCCACATCCCTTCCCCACTTCCCATCCCACTCTCCCCCCCTCCGACTTCCCAGAGCAAAATACAGGGTATTTCGATTAACAATCATAAACTAAATTAACCTAACTATTCTTAAACTACCAAACCCCCCCGCTGAAACCTTAACTCCACTATGGTTAACATAATACTTCTAGAGTTTAACATTCATTCATAAGCTATTTGATATTTTCTTGTCTGATACTTATTTTGAATATAATCAATCCATCTTCTCCAGTCCGATATGTATCTTTCTTGTGTATAGTCCTTCAAATACGCGGAAATTTTCGCCGTTTCCGCTAAATTCGCTACTTTCAATGTCCATTCTTCAATAGTAGGCAAAGAGTCCTTCTTCCAGTATTGCGCTACCAACAGCCTAGCTGCTGATATTAAGTTTAAAATCAGTTTGGTGCAGGATACGGGTCCTCCATGGAAGGCAGGTTGGTAGCCATGGTTTTTTCTGCAGTTCTAATGATCCTCTGAAGTCTGTGTCGCTCTTGTTGGGTTGCAGAACCAGAAGCGTTCGACGTTCTACATTTTTTTGCGTTGAAGAAATACAGCCGAGCGGCCGAGAGTTTCCCCCTTGGTGGGGTGTCTAATCAGGGCACCATGGGACTCAATTATAGCCTAGCTGTGTGGGCTGCCTGATTAATTGAAAGGGCATTGCTGAGTGGGTTGGGGATCAGAAGAAAGCCTCTTGGACGCAGGAGGGAGCCGAGCGGAGCCTGGTTCTCCAGGACCCCAAAGGTTTGCAAAGCTCCTCCAGACTTCAGAGGTGAAGTCCCAAAGCCCAGAAGTGGCAGCCTTTGGGAATCCCAGGAAGAAAACGAAAACAAACGAAAACGAACCCTGGATTTTGCATTTTCAGCACGAAAACATCTTTTACACCCAGCTTTACCAATGGGGGTGGCGTGGGTGGAAGGATTTAATGATCTGCAGAGGGATAAACAACAGCGAAAGGCAGACATTCTATAGATCAATCGTAAATAAATGCGCCCGGCTAGAAAAGCGATCTAGCAAGAAGTGAGATTTGATGGATTTGGACCTTCTCTTCTGCTGAAAGACAAAGAAATACGTCGGTTCTTTGGCAGGCTGGGAGACTGGGAGGCTACAAAAGCACAGGAGGTCCGACCACATTTTGAAGTAATTAAGGAGTAGAAAGCTTTGTTTGTTTGTTTGCTTGCTTGCTTGTTTGCTAGAAACCAGGCTGGGCATTTTGAGAAAGAGACCCTGAGGGTGCGGTGATGAAATAGGAATGTGGTCATTTGTCCTTTTGGGGTTGATGAGAGCCTCCTCCTCCTCCTGAGTGGTCAGTCCACCAGCTGCCTGCAGTCCCCCAAAGAATATTACTACTACTACTACTACTACTACTACTACTACTTCTTCTTCTTCTTCTTCTTCTTCTTCTTCTTCTTCTTCTTCTTCTCTTCTTCTTCTTCTTCTTCTTCTTCTTCTTCTTCTTCTTCTTCTTCTTCTTCTCCCCTCCTCCTCCTCCTCCTCTTATTATCTTCTTCCTCGTCCTCATCCTCCTGGGTCCGCCAAATAATAATATTATTTCTTCTTTTCTTCTTCTTCTTCTCCTCCTCCTCCTTCTTCTTTCTCCTCCTCCTCTTATTATCTTCTTCCTCGTTCTCCTCCTCCTGGGTCCCCCAAATAATATTATTATTTTTTCTTCTTCTTCTTCTTCTTCTCTTCTTCTTCTTCTTCTTCTTCTTTCTTCTTCTTCTTCTTCTTCTTCTTCTTCTTCTTCTTCTTCTTCTTCTTCTTCTTCTTCTTCTTCTCCTCCTCCTCCTCCTCCTCCTCCTCCTCCTCCTCCTCCTCCTCCTCCTCCTCCTCCTTCTCCTTCTCCTTCTTCTTCTTCTCATCCTCCTCGTCCTCCTCCTCCTCTTCCCGGCCTCAGAGTGTCATGCTGGTCATTTTCAGGATTTTATTTTTCCCATTTATCATCTGAATCAAACCTCCACCAAATGATTTTTTTTCTGTTCCTCTCTCCCATGTCTCTTATAAAACCAACAGAAGAGAATATTTCTAGCTGGGAGTTGATCTGTGGGGTTGCTTGATGCTCTCTGAGCTTGGTTGTTCTCTTCCAGATGTTTCATTACCCAACTAGATAAGCAAAACCCTTGTGGTGATGAGCCCTAGTTGAGTAATGAAACATCTGGAAGAAAACAACAACTAAAGTTCAGGGTGCACCAAAGACCCCACGCCTTATGAAAACACTGTAAGTTGTTCAGAAAACTAATCTTCGTACGGGAAGTTGGGTTATGGAGACATTGAAATAGTCTTGGCTTAAGAACTGGGCGAACTAAAGAGTTGGGAATGGCCTTCTTTGAACTTTGGACAGGTTCAGGCTATAGAAATCAGGTGATGACTTATCCTTGGGGCGAAGAGACCATGTGAGAAAAGGCAAGTTGGTTGCAGGTCAAAGAAACCAATGGGAGGGTTGCTTCAAAAGCTATCAACCCTCTGGGAATCCTGTCTCATTAAGCCTCGGGGTTTGCCCGCAGCCTCGGTAAATCTGTACTGTTGAACTAATAAATACACTGTTTGGTTGGCTGGAGGAAGGGAGCAGCTGTTTGAGAAGGGAAATCGTTCAGAGCCGTAGAAGAGAAATGGCTTTTTGGAGGTGGCTGCCTCAAATTATTACCTCTTAGAAGCTTTCAACGTCTTCATCTTCAACCACAAAGGGACATACATCTCCTTCTACATCCGGGGTGGGTGTCCAACCTTGGCCACTTGAAGACTTTGCAGTTCTGTCTCACCCTGCCCAACACCATCTGGCATAAGAAAGATCTAAGAATAGCCTTACAGAATGAGGTCAAGATCCACCTTCAACAGATTAACAGAGTTAGAAGGCACCTTGAAGGTCATCTAATCCAGAGGTCTCCAACCTTGGCAACTTTAAGCCTGGGGGACTTCAACTCCCAGAATCCCCCAGGGAGTTGAAGTCCGCCAGGCTTAAAGTTGCCAAGGTTGGAGACCTCTGATCTAGTCCAACCCCCTGCCCAAGCAGGAAACCCTACATCCGCCTCTACCTAGGATCAAACTCCCAACCTCCTGATTGTGAGGCAAGAGCTCTCCCTCTAGACTTGTGGACTTCAACTCTCAGAATTCGCCAGTCAGCTGTGGATTCAAAGCATTGTCTTTCACCAACACAGACTTGGCTTGGCTATAAAAGTTGGCCTCTTTCCATGTTTCTCTCCTGGAAAGAGAGAATCCTCTTACGAATCCACCGATGATCTCAGCGTTCGTTCGTTCGTTCGTTCATCCTTCTTGCCTTCCTCCATTCTAAATATTTAGAGCTTTAAAGATATAGAGAGGTTTCATTCTTGGCCCCCCTATTCAAAGTTTATTTCCAGTCCGAAGGATCATCTGTTCTTCAATTATTAATAGATCTTTAATCGGATTTTCTTGTAGGGAAAGTAAGCAAATATCATTGATAAATAAATCAACACTCCTGTTTCTGCGAGTGAGCAGGATGGAAGCTTTTAAAAGGGGCTATTTTAAGAGTCTCTCTGCCTCTCTCCCTCCCTTCCTCTTTCTCTTCTCTTCCTCTTTCCCTCCCTCTTTCTCCTTCTCTTTCTCTTTCTCTCCCTCTCTCTTTCTTTCTCTTTCTCTTTCTTTCTCTTTCTTTCTTTCTCTTTCTCTTTCTCTTTCTCTTTCTCTTTCTTTCTTTCTCTTTCTCTTTCTCTTTCTCTCTCTCTTTTTTCTCTCTTCCTCTTCCTCTCTTCCTCTTCCTCTTCCTCTCTCCCTTCACCAGTTTCATCTTTAGCCCCCAGATAACTGCAGCTTTGTTCCTGCTTCCCACCCATCATTAGCATCTTGCTAATTCCTCCTGCTTATACAGCTTAGAAGGACCCGTTGCTAACAGCAGATGCCTAGCAACTGACTCATTAGAAGGTTCTGCTCTCCCAAGGCCATTGCTAGGCCACCATTTGCTGTTCCTCTTAATGCCCCGTTTCGTACTCCTGGAGATCAAATCAGCATCCTTTCAAATCACAGCTGAGATCATTCCGCCTCGCTTTCTTCCCCATGGTTACTGAAATAGACGTCTTGGAAGAAGACACCTGCACGACTATTTCACAATTGTTCCTGCAAACCTCCTACCTGGGGGAGTGGGTGGGGCACCTGGATTCCTCTCTGCCTCTTTGACCTCAGGTGGGATGGGAAACACGATCCCAGCTTGGGTTGCCATGGAGAAAGATGGATTGTGATGGAATCTAGTGGCAAGGCTCAGCAGGGACGGTTGCAACAGCCTTGACGAAGATGGATGAGACGTGTCAGGCGCAAAGAATCCGGGCCGTAAATTATGTTGCAGTTCAGAAAATTTATTGCTCAAGCAATAAACAGGAATCTAGTCAACTAAAGTTCAGTACTAAATTGGCACCAGATAACGGTCGACAGTATTCAAGAGGGATTGGGTTTAGACCATTTGTGGGAACGTAATGATTCTGGGCCGATGACTCCCTTAACTCCTCCCGCCA